TGCGAAAGCGTTCCCGTGGCCCTGCCAATATGCGACAAGGTTGGAACACCATGGGGTTTTAGTCGGTGCGAGTCCGACATAACCCGTCCTTGCCCCCGCGAGGCGGGTATGCGTAGGCATTTCCCCATGTAAAAAAAAAAAAAAAGATGTCGTTCAACTTGTACTTACTTGTATTGTCATTCCTAATTAAACAATATGAATGTTGTATTTAAAACGATATTTTATCGGTCTTCAACGCAGCTCTGTCTTACACCCAGCTCTGTGCAACTGGATAGGTTTTGTACTGTAGTTCTTCATTCGGATAGCCGTAGTAGCTCTACTGTACACATATTTCAATACCTCAATAAATTATCGACAGTCTATCATGGAACCGCTAACGTGACTGAAGTACCTCCAGAACTTTGCTGTGACGGTGGTAAATTTTGTTTGTGGGTAATATTCGTAGTTTCACGTGATAGATCTATTTTGTAGCAATATTATGATTGTAGCACGAATAGGCCAGCTCGACCGGGGTAGGATTACGCTCTCACAGAATACCAGCTTAATGCTACTGTGTTTAGTGTGGTGTGTTGGAGATACTTTTCACCAGAAATGAGTCATTTCATTTTAGTCCTCAACGCATTTGCATTTTGATTCGTAACCGAGGGTAGATGTAGATGTCTATGTGCCATAGCATCCACTTACCATCAGATGGACTGTGTGCTTGTTTGTTATTCTTATTCTATAAATATATTTTAAATGGGTTTTTTAAGAAGGAAAATAGTAGACGAGTAAAACTGGTTGTTAATTTTACAACAATTATACAAATTAGCACCACATGTGAAATAATTTAATATCGTACTTAGCAAAACACATTGTTCATTTATTAATGAAGAATATGTTAAAGACAGTAAAAGCGAAGTAAATAAACAACAAACAAATATACTTAGGTGGAAGTTTTCTCCTACAACAATTCCGTTTGTGTTTGAGATAGGGATGGAAGAATAGAAAAGGCACTCCTTTGTACAGATATTTTAATTTCCTTGAAATGTTTATGCGGCACCGGAACGAAACCGTATTACAAATTTAAAACTGTTTTTGGGGTAATTACATATGCTCGAATTACAAAATATGTACTGATATATAAAATGTTGAACATACTCGTAGTGGCGGTGTATGAATGTTGTAAAAGGAAACGGAGGGAAACGAACCAGGAGATGGGCAGCAGCAGATGGGTGCAGAAAGACTCCTAATAACTAGAAAAAAAAAATGCAGTTGTCAAACCAAGTGTGGCTACTCTATCAAATTCCCTAATAAGGAATTCTAGTGGGAGGTTTATGTTCTGCAGTGAATTTTGATAGGCTATAATGAATGAATTATATAAAGTAAACTTGCCAGTCTGGGTATTTTACGTCTCGCGTAAACGAAATAGATATGCCGCCTTATATCGCATGCCGCAAGATTTTTCTGGAATTTTTCTCGCTTTTTACGTCCCCTATTGGATTCCCTTACGCCACTACCACATGGCTATCGATTTATATTTCCTTCCTTATCATAGAAGATTACAGTTCGAAAAACTATTTTTAATTAATTAGAATAATCGTTGACATCTTCCTTAGTTTCTTTGCGTATTTCCTTTGTGCATATATACGTTACTAGAATCTACATAACTAAATTTGTAGCCTATATACATAACACAGCTGGGCACAGGCTTTCTTCTATATCGGAGATAATTACTTACAAAATTTACCTTGAACGCCGAGCACTTTTTGGAGTCATCCGTACGATGAGGGTTCTATGAAGTAATTACATATAATGTGGGTTATTAATATTTTTTTCTGATATGGTTTGACTGTCAAAAATTTACAAAATTTTACTAAATTTCTTAAAATTATTATTATAAAATTATCCAAATAATAATAGAATAATAACAATTAAGTTAAACCGTGGTAAACCATAAAATATAATTAAGCCCAAAGTAACCGAGTAAATTATCAACTTACTCGGCTCTATGCAAAAGAAGCACAACTAGTATAAAATAAATATCAACATTAATTCTGTTGTAACTATTAACTCATATTGCGAACTCGAAAGGTCCTGGGTTCGAATCCGCCATTCGACTACTGTCGTGAACAGCTTCTAACACAACCAATTTTAAGCTTACCAGAAGTGGTTAAAAGGAATATAAGTAATGTTTAATAGTATATAAAAAAAATATTAGCTTAAGATTTATAAATAAATTATTTGGATTGATAAAAACGGTTAGATTTATATAAAAGAAATAAGGTAAATTTAATTCACATATTTTCAGAAAAATACCAGTGAATGCTACTAAGTCGTAATAATGTACTAAATGTATTTCGAACAAATGTGACGCATCCTAATTACTGAAAGGAACACAAGTTCCGTCAGAGTTTACAGAATTTTTGTAAATTATATTCAAATACATGTAAATAGCGCTATGAAAACGATTATATATTCATTTTAAACTAACAGAGACTTTACGAGAAATTTAAATAATTAAAATTACCGTGGACGTAATTCGAAATACTACTACTACTAGGCAGATACGACTTTTTTACGTTACTTGCACTAGCTACGTTCAGCTGTCTGATGGATGAGATTTTAATGACCAAACGTTGACAGAAAAACAATCCAAAATCACTCAGACTGGTGAAAAGAGCTACAAATTTGAAATTGATCCAATTGTAGCTTAATGTTCACTCTAAAAATTTTAATTTACATTATCATTGAGACTTTTTTTATAGGAGAGGGGGCAAACGAGTATACGGCTCACCTGATGGTAAGTGACTACCGCCGCCCTTGAACAACGGCATTACCAGGAGAACCAGGGGTATTACAGATGCGTTGCCGGCCTTTCAAAAAGGAGTAGGCTCTTTTCTTGGGTGACAAGGACAAAGGACATTTTTTATAAGTTTTTTCTTGTATAAATATCATTATTTAAAGGGCTTAAACAAAATGTATTAAGTCGCTATATGAGTAAACATAAACCATTAAGTAAATAACTTTCAATCTAACAAGTACAAAAATTTAATCCGAAAAGAAGTTTATATTTACTATACAATATAAATAATGATTTTGTTTCATCGTAGTGAAAATTAGATGAAATTATGTTGATATTATCAAATTTCTTCAAAGTATTTTTAAACTTAGCTATCCGAAAAACACCAATGCGGGCACACTTCATCAAGATATATATTAAGTCCTCTTTTAAAAGTTACTGCTTGGCTGTTATACCCTGTTGAAGATTTAACTGATTCATAAAAAATGCACATTTTTCATGTACAGCCACAGTCTACCTGATAAGTGGACTGTGGCCCATAGACATCTATATCTATGCCTCGTTTCCAGTAAAAAGGGTCTCTGGTTCTCTGCACCCACAATACGAAACATAGCAGCATTAAGATGTGTGTGTGTGTGTGTGTGCGCTTGCGTGCGTATGTGCATGCGTGAATGCGTGCGTGCGTGCGTGTCATTTTACTTCCTTCGTCCACCTAGCTGTATTATTATTATTATTATTTAGTGATTTTTCTAATATCTCTGATATGGATCTCATTTGTAATCCGAAACAAAGATTTATTATTATTATTATTAAGCTGCTATTTTACGCTAGTATTCTGTGAGAGCGTGATCCTTCTCCAGTCGAGCCGACCTATTCGTGCTAATATCGTTTCAATCGTGGTGTTGCTGCAACGTGGCTCTACCACGGACAAAATATCACGATGCTTAATCTTATTTTAATAGAATGAATGTACTGTTCTTGTTAAAATTCTTATAAAAAAAAAGAATAGAAAAATATTAGATAATATATTCCTTCTTTTACTTTAGATTATCGAGTTTTAAAAATATTAGCAACCATAGAGTGTATAGGAAAATATGACGCCAGTGTTGTTATCCCATGTATAATTTGTAATCCATATGCGGGACCACAACTTGATAATAACATCCCTAACGTGACACAAAGGGATAAATTTATACCAGGCACGTAAGGTATAAAAGTAGCTTCGATATTTTTGCGGGAAAGGAAGGGTGATAGAATTACTCGAGGGAGTCAGCTATCAATATTTACTATTGGAAGCTTAAGCAAAAAGTTAAAATATTTATGTACGCTTTCGAATCGAGATCACGAACTCGAAAAAACGAAATCATTAGTGGCGTTGTGGTTAGAATACCTTACAAATAAATCGCAGGACTTGGATTTTGAAATATAACCTAACTGACATAACATTGCCGTGTAGTGGCGGTTAATAATAACCATTACCCCATATCATCCCGTGGGTGTCGTAAAAGGCGACAAAGGGAAACAGGCAGGAGATGGGCAGCAGCATCTTCCTGATAACAAAAAACTTACAATAAAAAACTACGGTTGCCAACCCGCTCGCCAAGCGTGGCAACTATAGCAAATACCCCCCTATGATGAGAGTAACAAAGAAACGTACCCCAGTCCCCGGCGGCCCCGCTATTCCTGGCTACGGTGGTGACTGTAGGTCAAAATGGCGTAAGGCGTCGTAGGTTCAGTGAAGAAAACAGTTTATATTAACGTTCACAGTCTTTTAATAGTCCACGACACAAAGCACACTACAATAAAGAGTCAGAATGGAAGCGAGCACAATCATAGTTACAAAGAATAGCACAAGCAAGAAAGTAAGAGATAGCATTAACAAATAAACTGTACGTGGTTAGCCGCGGGCGCAAAGGTGTTACAAGGGTCTAGTCGCAGAGGCGATCAGCAGGTAACTAACTTGATACAAGTATAACAGGATATGCGCGAGCGCCGCGATTCAATCCCCGGTCGCTCTGTCTAGAAAAAGGTCGATCCACAATGGTCCCAATGTGTTAAATGCTTGTTCTATAATGGTTACATAATATATAATTAATTACGTTTATTGTAGGTGTTGTATGTGTTTATGTGTAAGTGTTATTGTGTTTCTGTGTGTATATATGAGGTGTGTGTAATAATGTGGTGGAATCCCCACATCACTCCCCCCCAGAGGCCGTGCCTACGGTCGATAAAAATCAGGAAATCTGACATGCCTACCGGCCCTTGTAGTTTTCCGGTTTTCTAAACTGCCGTCCATGACTTTGGGGCTGCAATCGGTGTGCCTAGTGCGAGTTCCACAAAATTATTCGAATGACTTCACCATCGCGTTAACCGAGTTAACGCCATACCTATCGACAAGTGAAGACAAGCGAGTGTGTGTTACAATCGAAGCTAACCTTTCGATTCGCGTTTACTCACCGTGAATCGCGTTCGTTCCTTCTCTTATGTTGGTAACACGTTAGCGTCGTGAAATAAACTAACCAAGTTTAGGATGACATAGTTACTTAGTCGTCTTAATATTAGAAGCTGTCTATCAAAGTTGTGGTTATTATAGCATCTTTTATATACTTTGACAGTTTGTTTGTTGTGAACTTACGATTATTGAAAATATTAAATTATAATTATAAGTAAAAAAATATGAAGACTAGTTCGTCCCAATTCGATTTGATGGTGACAATTATGGAGCAGTAAGTTGAATTTAATTTATTTAGTGTTTAGGGAACATATTAATATGTTGTTGTATATTTTGTAACTAAGTTTATTGGTTTTAGGCATGGAGATCTCAGCAAACCATCCAATAATGCAAGAGGTAGGATGGCTTGTATAAAAAACGGAATTAGCTCAATTTTTGAATAGTGATGGTAGTGGTGATACAAAAAGTACTGAGAAATGGAAGAAGGTACGTCTAAATGATTATTTATTTTTATATATTTTGGTTTAAACTGGGTTTTGGTTCTCTAATTCTATGAAACATTGAAGTCCGTAGTCTCTGCCTACCCCTCTGGGTGACAGGCGTGAGTGTTTATGTATGTATTTGCTTCAAAAAAAAAGCCAACTTGTTTGTCTTTTTGGTTCTTGTACACAACTACTAGGTATATTGATTTTGTTGAAAGTTTCATTTATATTTTTCATATTTAAGGTTCTCAATCTTGGAACGACCCAGGGCAATCAACACAACCTCATGTTGCCAAGAAAGTCAACCAGGGCCTGCTTTGTCGGGGCAAACTACACCTTGCCGTGCAAGACCAATTCGTACTCGAGGATCACCTCGAAGACGAGTGAGGCCAGCACACACAGAGCAGGCAGCACAAGGGACTCCGGTTCTCTACACTCACCATATGAAACACAGCAGTGTTAGGCTGCTATTTTACGCTGGTATTCTGTGAGAGCGTGGTCCTTCCCCGGTCGAGCCGACCTATTCGTGCTACAACTATACTACTATAATAGCTGTAGCATGGCTCTACAAAATAATTTAGATTACTTTTCTGTTCTGTTTCAATGTTCTTGTAATTATTAAATTATTGTATTAAGTTGTAATTGTAATTATTTAATTAAATTTGTGATAAAATTTAAGGCTGGTTATAAATAAAAGAAAGATTTAAGCTTATTCAAATTTATTTATTTAATCCCTATAGTAACCTTCTTGCTAATTGATCTCTTAATATTCTACCTTGAATTAAATCAGAGGTAGGTTCTCTTTCTGTGTAACTTATTTGATCAGATTCCACCATTCTTTCAAATTGCAGACCTAAAAATAAATCATAATTAATAAGTTTACTGTTTATAAGTTAGCTTAATATATTATAGTAATTCAATTTAAAATTAAGATACCTACCTATATTTTCCTCTGTATCCTCAACACCAAAATTAATAATTATATTATGTAACACAGAGCATGCTAAAATAATGTGTGCACATTTTACGGGCTTGTAGTGCAAAGCTCTATCCTTGTGCAGACATCGTCATCGATTTTTCAGCCTTGAAAATGTGTTCTCAATAACAACTTGAGCTCTCATGTGTTTTTCATTATAATTATTGGACTCAGTGTCTAAAAATGGTGTCATAAGCCGTGGGCGTTGGGGATATCCAGAATCTCCTAGAGTTAAAATATACATGTTATTGTCAATAATATAGATAGAAATTATTTAGTAATGTTTTACTTAAAAATACTTCATATAACTCAAAACATCCCAATAAGTTATACTGTGGATATATTACCTAAAAGCCAGACAATTTCTCCATTTTGGTGCAAAGATTGCATGTATGTGTTTAAATTACTGTTTTCCCATATAAAGGAATCATGATTAGCACCTCCAAACTTGGAATTCACATTTAAAATTCTATATTCATCATCACATACCTGAAAAGAAGACATTTTGTTTATTTTCTACCCCTTTTTAACCAAGGAAAAATAAAAAAACTTAATATTTACCATTTGAACATTAAGTGAATGGTAGTGCTTACAACTATAATACAAATGTTCCTCTTCTTTTGGTGGGGCAACTATTTTAAAATGACTTCCATCAATACAACCTACCACTCCAGGGATTTCATATTTTCTGTAAAAACTGAATTTTAAAATAAATATTAACTGAATCTAATGATTAATTTGCATTAGGTTGTTTAAAAATAAGCATATATTTATTATCGTTGACTAACTGCTTGTCTAGCAGCTGGAGTATCAGGGAACCGAATATATTTATTTATTATATTTTTGTGTGTCAGCGCTGGGTAACTTCTTCTATGTACACACTACACATTATTTGAGACGTGTGCTTTGTAACCCCAACTGGCATTTGGTAGGATCCAGTTGCAAAAAAGAATAGAGCAGTGAGCACCTGCAATTAAAAAGAGAACAAACTTATATTTAAACTTGCACTTGTTTTAAACTTGAGTTGCAAAAATGTGAATACTTTAATGATCGATACATACTTTATGTTCCAAGGAAACGCGTTGAGAGGACCTAAGATTTGTCAAACTCCTTAGCTCTTTACACAAAAACTTGAAGACTTTCTTGGAAATGCGATATCTATCTTTAAAGTGCCTCCCCGTGAGGTGTAACAAAGGGTTCAAAGATGCACGAGTTCTTCTTTCAACATTGGCTTTATAATTGCGCTCATCTTGTGCCTTAGCGGCTGTAAGCATCCTCCATGCGAAAAAAAACGTCCTGCCATAATTAAATATTGTTCACACAAACCGAAATAAAATTAAACCTTCAACAATCGTTCTCACTATGCTTTCTCACTGTCAAAATTTAGGTGAAAACTTTTTCGATATCGACCGCGTAAACTTTATTTATGTTAGATCAAAATTGGAACTCGCACTCGCAAAATTCTTGAAACAACCAATCACGTGCGTTTACGTTCTCGCTGTCGAATGCGAGTGAATGCTCGAATCGATCGATCGAGCAGCTCGATGGTCGATATCGACGACGTAATAAACTCGCACTCATGAACTGTGATTCCGATTATTGCCACTAGTTGGCGCTGATTTTATTCCATACAAATTGTAGTTAACTTTCTCGCTATCGAGCGCGTAAAAAAACTCGCACTAGGCACACAGGAGAGACGTCGCAAGGCATCCGCCTTGCCTGCCGCCTGACGGTGTTCAGCATATAGGCCGGTTTCAGACGGTCTATAGAAACTGTTATCTGCTTACCTTTAACGATGATCTTAAATACTTTATCACCTCTTTCGGTCACTTCATGTGGACCGGAATATGCAGGATGGAAGGTGCTTTTCAGCCGGTCTTCCCTAAGGAATACGTGGCTGGAATTAGCGAGATCCTTATATATAAATATTTTATTTTTATTATGCCGTGATGCGGGACGAGGCTGCAGTTTCTCACAAACTGAACGAATTCGTGCAGTAAAATCCGTAATGTCAGTTGTGGTGCTTACTGTACTTTCGAAAAATTCGCCTGGGAGTCTTAAAGGCTCGCCGTAGACGAGTTCTGCTGAGGAACACTGCAGATCAGCTTTATATGCGCTTCTGATGCCCAATAGTACTAGAGGTAAAGATTCCGTCCAGTTGCTATCAGCGTGACATGTAATAGCTGTCTTCAGCTGTCGGTGGAATCTTTCTACTAGGCCATTAGAAGCGGGATGGTAAGCTGTGGTTCTGCGATGTTTGAATCCGATTATTTTCGATAGATAATTAAATAAATGGGATTCGAACTGCCGTCCACGGTCCGTCACTATGTCAGTTGGACAACCAAATCTGGCGATCCAACCTGATAGGAGTGCCTTCGCTACAGTTTCGGCTGTAATATCCGCTATGGGCATAACTTCTGCCCATCTCGTGAAACGGTCAACTGCTGTTAAGCAGTAGCGGAAATTATTCGAGTATGGGAGTGGACCAATAAGATCGATATGCACATAGGAAAACCTGGCTCGTGGTAAATCGTATGTGCCTAAAGGTGCTGACACATGGCGGTTTACCTTAGAGCGCTGGCAGGCTAAGCACGTACGAGACCATTCTCGGCAGTCTTTTCTGACTCCTGGCCAAACGAATCGCTGTGCTACCAGCTTAGCAGTAGCGTTTGCACCAGGGTGACTTAAAGAATGTAGACTGTCAAAAATAGCTTTTCGAAAACTTTTGGGAACGAAAGGTCTTGGTATGCCTAGACTTATGTCGCAAAAAATTTCGACTTTGCTGTCGGGCTCTTTAACTTTAATAATGCGAAGTGATGATTCATCGCCTAGAAGCTGTGATAGCTCAGAATCTGTGGACTGAGTTTTTGCGAGCTCTTTAAAATCCACCGGCTGCTGTATTTCATCCACGCGCGACAGAGTATCAGCAACGATATTATCCTTGCCGGATATGTGCTGAATGTCGCTTGTAAATTGAGACACAAAATCTAGATGTCTATACTGACGCGGCGAACAGTTACTTTTCCTTACATGGAATGCATAACATAAAGGCCTATGGTCAGTATAGACTGTGAAGTGGCGTGCCTCGAGCATGTGGCGAAAATACTTAATGCCTTCATATATAGCCAGCAACTCACGGTCGTAGGGTGAGTACTTCTGTTGTGCTGGGCTAAGCTTTCGGGAAAAAAATGCTAATGGCTGCCAGGCATCATTTTTGTACTGTTGCAGTACAGCACCCAATGCTAAGTCTGATGCATCCGTTACCAGAGCTAATTTGGCTTGAAACAGAAACAGAAACAGAAACTTTTTTATTCAATATAGATTATAAATAATACTTATTGAAAGTCATTCTTTTGTTTGATTACCACTGGTTCGGAAAAAACCTCTGTCCTGGGAAGAACCAGCAAGAAACCCAGCGGGACTTTTTTTTTTTTAAATAACAGCTTACAATCATGATGTTACACAAATTAACAACACAACAAATTAGAAATAGCTTGGTAGCGATCACCTCATTTCCAGGGGTTATTATCATCCATAAATTCCTTAATATTATAATAACCCTTTTTATACAAACTTAGTTTAATAAAGTTTTTGAACTTTGAACAGGCCAAACTTTGTATATTTTCTGGAATTTTGTTGTAAAAGCGTATACATCGCCCCAAGAATGAATTACTGACTCGATGGAGTCGAGTAACTGGTACTACTAGCTTGTGTCTGTTCCTAGTATTTACAGAATGAATATCACTTATTTTTATAAAACTACTTTTATTTTTGTGTACGTACATTAAATTTTCATAAATGTATTGAGAGGCCAAAGTTAATATATTAATTTCCTTAAATTTTTGTCGCAGCGACTCTTTAGGCTTTAAATCATAAATTGCTCTTATGGCCCTCTTCTGCAAAACAAATATAATTTCTGTGTCAGCTGCGTGTCCCCATAGCAAAATACCATACGACATTATGCTATGGAAGTAGCTGAAGTAAACTAGTCTAGCTGTTTCAACACTGGTTAGACTTCTAATCTTTTTTACAGCATATGCTGCAGAACTAAGTCTGCTTGCTAGTTTTGATATATGGGGGCTCCATTGAAGCTTCGCGTCTAGTGTGATTCCAAGAAAAATGGTGGTATCTACAAGACTCAGTTTCTCCCCATTTAAAATTACATTAGTATTTAATTGTTTGACATTTGGAGTCACGAATTTCATACATTTTGTTTTAGTGCCATTTAAATGCAAATTATTAACATCGAACCAATTTACTAATTTAGATATAGCATTATTTACTTCGTCATATTTTAGTAACTGTCGACTTAATTTGAAAATTAAAGAAGTGTCATCTGCAAATAATACTATATCATGGTTATCCCCTACTATGTAAGGTAAGTCATTAATGTATACAAGAAACAGAAAGGGGCCGAGAATTGAGCCTTGAGGCACGCCCATTTGTACCATCGATCCGGAAGAGCTCATATTGTTAATGACAACTTTTTGCGTTCTCTTACTTAAATATGAAATAATTAATTTAAGGGCATCACTTCTTACACCGTAGTGTTGAAGTTTCCTGATTAATGTTTCATGGTGAACACAATCGAAGGCCTTGGATAGGTCACAAAATATACCCAAAGCATCCTGTGAATTCTCCCATGCATTAAAGATATATTTAATCAGCTCAACACCGGCATCAGTTGTCGAGCGACCCCTTGTGAAACCAAATTGATTTTTATGAAGTAAATTATTTATATTAAAAAAATTTAACATTTGATCAAGAACAATTTTTTCAAAAATCTTACTAAGTGTTGGTAGTACAGAAATAGGTCTAAAATTGGCGGGGTCTAATGTACTACCAGATTTAAATAAAGGTATTACTTTACTATGCTTCATTAAATCAGGAAACACACCAGATTCGATACTAGTATTAAAAATAATAGCTAAATGAGGCGCGATTGTATCTATTATAGACGCAATAACTTTAACGGAAATCCCCCACAGATCCGCAGTTTTCTTAACATCAATAGTTTTAAAATATTTTACAATATCTTTTGATGTCACTTTATGAAATGTAAAATTCTTTGTACACACATTTACATTATGTTTAAGTAATGATTCGGCGACGGCAGGAGAAGAATTTAGTGACTTAGCTTGGCAATCGGGATGTGCTAATAGGGCAGCATTGCAAAGACTGTCCTTGGACTGCTCAAAAGCTGTTAGAGCGTCGCCTGTCAGGTCTATAGCTTGTGAAGCCTTCACCGAACCAGTTCATAAGGCGTTTAAGGGTGCTTGAATTTTTGCGGCTTCTGGTAAGAACCGCCTATAGAAATTAAGCATGCCCAAATAACGTCTGAGCGCATTGACTGTTCGGGGCTTAGGGAATTCTTTAATGGCTTGAACTTTTGACTCAAGTGGCTTAGTACCTGCAGCTGAAATGTGGTACCCCAGAAACTGTACCTGTGATGAACCAAATACACACTTAGAGGTGTTCACCAGTACTCCGTACTGCTTCATTCGGCCAAAGAGAATATTGAGGTGATGTTCGTGCTCAGTAGCACTTCCAGAAAATACTAAGAAGTCATCTAAGTAACAGTAACAGAAATCCAGTCCTCTAGTAATTTCATCTACAAACCTTTGGAACGTTTGTGCGGAGTTCCGGAGTCCGAAGGTCATGCATGGGAACTCGTACAAACCAAACGGTGTGGTGATTGCCGTTTTCTGGATGTCCTCCTCAAAGACGGGGATCTGGTTGTACGCTTTGACAAGGTCGATAGTCGAGAATACGGTGCATCCTGATATGTTGTGCGAAAAATCATGAATGTGTCTGATTGGGTACTTATCTGGTATGGTGCGTGCGTTGAGTAGCCTGTAGTCTCCGCAGGGGCGCCACCCATTGCCTTTTTTGGGAGCCATATGTAAAGGAGATGCCCAGGAGCTCTCAGAAGGACGTGCCGTTCCGTTGCTCAGCATCAGCTCAAATTCTTTCTTAGCTATTGCAAGCCTGTCAGGAGCTAACCTGCGAGGAGGGCAGGATATGGGAGGTCCAGGCGTAGTGCGAATGTAGTGTACGGTATTATGTGCAGAGGTGTGTGGTGTGCCTGCTGGTCGTGTTATTTCTGGATATTTAGCTAAAATAGTGTGGTATCGTGTGTCGCCAATAGGAACCTTAACAGAATTAATATTATTTACATTTTTAGCAATAAAAGCAATTGTCGACAAGGATGTTAAATTATCAATTAATCGTTTGTTCTTAACGTCTACAATTAGGTTATAGTGACTAAGAAAATCTACTCCTATTATGGCTTTATTTACATCGGCAACAATAAAATTCCATGGAAAATTACGTCGTAAATTTAAATTTAAATTAAGTTGTAAATACCCGTATGTATCAATTGCACTACCATTAGCTGCTGATAATTGATAAGATGTCTTACTCCGTCGTTCGCGAAGTGCCGTACGCGGAAACACACACATGTCACTTCCAGTGTCCACAAGGAATTGGCTCTTGGAGTTTCGGTCAGTAACGAAGAGGCGACCCGAAGAAGTTAAGCAGTCGTCAGTCGCCATCACCGACTGCTTCGAGCGTTTCCCGATTTTCCAAAATCGCAGGGTTTGATGCACCGGTTGGCCTTATCTCCATATTTCGAGTGATACCAACAGGTTGGGTATCTTCTGTAGCTGGAGTCAGATCGGGAAGTTGAACGTCTGCGATTGCGGATGCTAGAACGGTCACATGGTCTGGAACGTCTGCTCAATTGCATGGTAAGGTTCTTAACAGCTGCTTTCAGCTCCGCTATTTCATTCTCCATAGACTGCGTACTGGTACCAGGTGTCGATGTAGTACGTGAGGTTGTTGCGACTTGAAGTGTTGGAGATACTATATCATATATTCTGTCTGCTAGATCGGCTAAAACGTCCAATGAGCTGGTTGGTTGCGACACAATCAGCGTTTGGATGTTGTTGGGAAGTCGGCTGCTCCATATGCTCTGTATAAAGTCCTCGGGTACCGAGGGACCTGCCAAGCTCTGCAGGTGTCGTAAAAATTGGGAAGGTTTCCGATTTCCCAATTCCTCGTGCATGAGTAACTGCTGAATCTTCCTTTCACGCGATGCTGACAAGCGTTTAATCAGTTGGTCTTTAAGTTTCTCGTATTTGTTACTAGAAGGCGGAGAAACAATAATATCTTTTACTTCTTTAGAATATTGAGGATCTAAATTACTCGTCACATAATAAAATTTTGTGGTATCCGATAATATGTTTGAAATTGTGAATTGACCCTCTATTTGCGCAAACCATAATTCAGGATCGTCCGGCCAAAATGGCGGTATACGTACGCTAACTCGATTAACGTCTGATGTAAGGTCGACGTGCGATCTGTGCTTGCGCCTTGTACATGGGCGCGTGGTAACATTTTGTTCTGATGCCGTTTCTGGCGATTCACTACCACTACTCATTGTACCTGTAGCGTCTTCTGCAGGGGTCACCAGTTGTAGGTCAAAATGGCGTAAGGCGTCGTAGGTTCAGTGAAGAAAACAGTTTATATTAACGTTCACAGTCTTTTAATAGTCCACGACACAAAGCACACTACAATAAAGAGTCAGAAGGGAAGCGAGCACAATCATAGTTACAAAGAATAGCACAAGCAAGAAAGTAAGAGATAGCATTAACAAATAAACTGTACGTGGTTAGCCGCGGGCGCAAAGGTGTTACAAGGGTCTAGTCGCAGAGGCGATCAGCAGGTAACTAACTTGATACAAGTATAACAGGATATGCGCGAGCGCCGCGATTCAATCCCCGGCCGCTCTGTCTAGAAAAAGGTCGATCCACAATGGTCCCAATGTGTTAAATGCTTGTTCTATAATGGTTACATAATATATAATTAATTACGTTTATTGTAGGTGTTGTATGTGTTTATGTGTAAGTGTTATTGTGTTTCTGTGTGTATATATGAGGTGTGTGTAATAATGTGGTGGAATCCCCACAGTGACCATGGTAACGGCAGGGCAGGGGTTGCTAAGAATCTCCGGTGGAGGTTCAGTTGCCACCTAAGGCCGGCAACGCATCTGCGATTCCCCTGGTGTTGCAGTTGTTCATGGGCGGCGGTAGTCACTTACCATCAGGTGATCCGCATGCTCGTTTGCCCCCTCTCCTATAAAAAAAAAAAAAAAAAGACGACACGACCTGGCAACATAAAAGGCACGCACCCTGAGGACTGACGAGAAGATCGTGGAGTTGCAAGAAGAGATAGACAAGTTACGCTGGCATATTATAGGATTATCC